CTGTGTGTATGTATATATATATATATATATATACACCAACATTGCTAGATACGCGCTATCTATTTTTCTCCACCAATGAAAAGTCAAAGCAAGATGAACCATTGTGTCTTAGTGCAACACATTGTAGTAAGGTTTTGTTTCTGAATGAATTTGTGTTTTTGAGTGAACAACTTAACTCACTCATAAGAAATTTGTTGTAACCTGGAATCATGTTTCCATCTGCAAACACAGACGAGTATAAAACACAGTGATATAAATAGTGAAACCTCCCAGTGCTGCTGGACTTTCTACCAGCAATCTTGTATAAAGAGTAAATAAAGTAATATTTAAAGTAGAGCTTGCAGCAGTCTAAATAAACAGACTTTGGTTCAAATCCAGAAAATCTGATCGTATCGGATTAATTTTATCATGGCTACACTTACAATTTTTGGTGCTCAAACTCTCAATTTAAGGCTAGATTCCTCATGTCAGCCTAGCATACACCTAATTTATCTTTCAACCAATATGAGAGAAAAAAACAGTTATGCAGTGTTAGACAGGTCTGCAAAAATTACCAACCAATCCAACAATTGTCTGGATTTCTTATAACTATAAAAATAAGCATCATTTATACACATTGTCATTTGTTTTTCTTGTTTCCACCTTGGAATATATTTTTCAATATCACTGAAAGATAAATAAGCTTCATTGGCAGCATTTCATTTACATCTACCTGCATCACTCCTTTGTCAAGAGATAGAACAAGACAGCAGAACACCAACTAAAAGCTAATAATTGTCCTTGTAATTTAAACATTATTTCTTATCCTTAACATTAAATTATTTTTATTAACATGACTTGTATTATAGAACCTATATAACTAGATCATATTTAGTCTTTTGTGTTAAGTCTGTTTTTCCTCCTGCTTTACATTTTTTTCTTTGCCACTGTTGCTTTGTCTTGCTCATTGGGTGCTGTAGGATATTAAGGCATATGTTCCTGTAATGCTGGTTTGAAACAATTAGAATTTTACAAAAATGAAAATACAAAGTACACATATAAATGAAAAATAATTTCTGGTAATAATTTATTTGTAATTAGGCATGGTCTGGAATTCCTAATGTGATCACACTATAAAATATTTATTTTAAAATACAGTAGAGCTAAGCAAGCGTCCTGTGAACAATCTTATTCTCTTTGTGTGATATTTCTTTTATAGACGTTCTATAAACTTAACACTGTGCAACTTACATTTCCATCAAAACATGGTCATTCACATATTTTGTATCTTCAACGACGGCAAATATTTCCAAAAGTGCTAAATCATCAAACTTTGTGTCATCAAGCAATGCACAGACTGAAGTTTTTATGAAGCAATTTCCCATCCTTGTTCGCAACATTCTGTTATCACTCCACTTTGGCAGCAACACTGTTTACCATTTTCTACTCCGGCTTACTGGTGAGCAGAAACCCACCCTGAGCTATCCAGGAGATAAAGAAAACACTGACAAAACAAGTCCTTACTCCAGAAAGAAAAGAGAGAAAAAAATCACCCAACCCAGCTTCCACTGGAGAGCAATCAGATAATCAGAAATAAGGATATATGACAAATATCGGCATTCCTTGATAACTGCTTGGCCAATCAATTTAGAGAACTGGAACTAAAGGCTGTACAGTAGTAATTATTTAAATTTCAATAATTAGCTGCAAATAATACTTCTGCCATCATGGTACACTGAAGGCAAAAAGTAATCCTATCAGAGGCTAGAATGGCTTCCAAACATTCCTTACAAAAATGATTTTACATTTTTTGCTCACCCTAACAAAGACAACCACATGAAATGGCAAACAATAAAATCAAGGATCTGATAAAATCTCGATCCGAGACTACATTTTGCATTGGCATTCCATCCTAATGACAACCTCAACCATTATATTTACGTTCCACAAAATATAATTAGAATTTGATGAGGTTTAAAAAATCGAATGCTATTCCTAGCAATAGGACAAACATAAAATAATAAAACAAAGGCTACTCATACTTAAAATAATAAAATGTTCTGATTTTGAAGTAACAGTTTAATAGATGGAGAATTCCTTCGAATCTCATGTCTTAATGCTGGTTCCATTATGTGCAGTTGTGCCTTCACTAGCAACCGTTGTCATGGGACTAAGTTCAGTGGCTATAGCTACTTCCGTAGTCTCCTCCTGTGCTCTTTGATTGCGGTAATGACATGTGATGATAAAGGCACTACAGCCCAGATAAACCACAGTCAGCAGAGTGAAGTAAAAGAAATAAACAAAAAACTGCAAGAGAAAGAGAGAAACAGAATCAGGCCAAAATCTTTCTGCATTGCAAGGTTCTAATATATAGGGAAACTTTCTGCATTGTAACATTACTGTACTTTCTTCTTCTATTAACAAGTTGGTGGTATCCATAACTGGTCGTTTTTCTGTGTAACTACTAACTGAAGTCAATCTAGAAAATTACACACCTGAGACTGAACATTCAAAGCCAATCCCCTCTTATCTGCCACAATGATAGTGATGATCGTTTTCAGGACTGTTCCAAGAAAAGTGTTTACTCCAAACACTAAAGCACACAGTTCTTTAGTGAGAGAGGAGGCAATCTGGAAACTGAGAAGAAAAACACAAAATGAGTTATTTAGGAACAAAATGCAGAGAACTGATACATTTATTTTTCTTTGTGTTATTTAGTTTTAGTTCCATCAAAAGCTCCTCATGTGGCAAATTACAATAAACTTTGAACTTCAAAGCAAAGTTCTTGCTCTCCATGAAATAAGCTAATGTTTTCACAGGTGCATACACATCTGCTTTTAAAACAGTGACTTTGAAACACTGAATGCAATGTTTGTCAGTGTTGTTTAATGTCATTTTTACCAAAGATAAGACATTTAAAAATATTTTAAACAATAATAAAAATAAATCAATAGGTTTATATAACTCACATAGCGATTGGCACCAGGAACTGGTAGAAGCCTTTGAACAGGGCATATGCCACATAGCAAACCCAGATGTTATCCGTGATGCACATGAGAAGCAGTAGTCCGGCCTGTACTGCAGTGATCAATCCAATCACCAGTTCAGACCAAAGATTCCATCGAATTTTCACATATCCTGCCGCAAATGATGTGATTGCACCTATGGAGCACATAAAGTGTGATTGTCATGTAATACTCATGTAATGCTGATTAACAAACATCTATTTTCGCCAAGTCAAAATCTGTTCATAAAATAGTGTAAACTGGTCTGAAAAACTTTTGCAAACATTTTCTACTTTTGTGTCATGTAAACTAGTGATCTTCATTCCTAATTCTGAAGAGCCACTTTCCTGTTGTGTTTAGTTCAAACTCGGATTACGTGCACTTGAATCAACTAATAAAGGTCTTTGGGTTTACTTGGAAGAAACTCCAATAAGGAATAAGCAATCCTGATTCGTATGTTTTGTGTTTTCCAAGCATGCGTCATGCCAAAGCTCAAAGGTTGAGGAACATGAACTTTACTTGATCTCGCCAAATAGTAAACCATCTTTTATGATGTATTATTTTGATTCATGTGGAGATAAAACTTTAAGACCCTATTTAAATAAAAAACAACTGTAGGTCACAATGACCTGTCAAATCCATTGAGAACACCGATAGCGAAATTGAAATTCTGGCCAGTACAAATATGCAGATTAATATTTTCATGTTTTGGCCGATAACTAATAAATGGCTGTTATCATAAATGTATACTATTCGTTAAGTGAGAGAGCAAGAGAGAGATTGAAAACTATAACAACAACAAAATCTAATACTGTATAAATAGTCTGTCCGCTAAAGTGAAAATTGTATGTATGAGTACCTGCTATTGAAAACTGTAAACATATAAAGTGAGTGCCTCTGGGCAAAAGTCTAGGTAGAGAATAGAGCTCAAAGAGTTATACCCAATGGATCTGAATCATTAGTGAGTGTGTAGAGAGTGCGTGTTTGAAATGACTGCCCACTGCAAATTAACACATACAGTATAAAAAGGTTGTACTTTTAAGAAATGAACATTATACAACAATGCACAAACGCACACAGCTTTGCAATCACTATAATTGCACAGCAACTCTATGACTTGCCCTCTTAAAACACTGTTAAGGTGAAGATGAAACATATATGTTAAAATAAAATAAAATGAATTATCAAGAGGAAAACCTTTTGGACAGGGATTCGGTTCCATCATTTTTGTTGTTGACTGAATGGGCACAGATCTGAATGCAAACTTGTAGTTGAATGTAAGAAAGATGTGGACGCAGCAATGTTTGGAGAAGTTCAACATACATCCCTGGGGGAATATGATGTTTCACTAAAAGATCCAGACATTTTGATTAAAGATTTTGAGGTCAAAATATGTATAGAGATATGTATGGATGAATCATTCACAATAAGATCAATAACATGCATTAAACGGGGAATTCACCGCTGACAAGATGGGCTTTTAATAAACATGGCTATCTATACAGTAGAAACGAAAAAAATAAATTGTAATTGTATAACCATACTTCTGATTTTGACAATCTGACTGTCCATGGACAGGAACATAAAAATGCAACAGTTTCATATAGATTTAACAAAAGCCCTGGAGCTGTCAAGCATCTGCTGGATAACACAAAATGACACTTTTGCTTCATCCACGTGGACTTTTGCTGAAAACTGATAAATTGGAGTGCAGGTAACATGAAAAGGAGTTCCTCACCGACATTTACATTCATTACTGACATTGTAGCAATACAAAGCTGGCTGAAAATTAGCAAAAAATACAAAGATAATCAACAGGGTGAATTTTTATTTTATGCTGACTTTAAATCTTTCTGCCATAATTTACTGCTTTCCCTGTAAAATAGTGTTGGATAATGACAAAAGTAATTAAATCTTAAAATTAGTGGACTGGAGGTTGATATCCAATACGTTGTATATCTATATTCATGACCATTGCTAAATCAGTCTTTAAGTGACATCTACTCTGAAATTAATGAACAGTTGGTGAGCAAGAAAACATGCCTCTTGTATGTTCTTCTGCCAACAACCTGTTCAATTATTTGCTTAAGAAATCAGAGTGAATGCTACTTATTTAAAGTCCGATTCTGTGGTTGAGATTATCAGTATTTTGTGTTATTTTAGAGATTTTTTTTTCTTTTAAAAAGAAAATATGACAACTACAAAACACTAAAATCCATCTTACCTAATAAGGTAGAGGCAGCTTCAACCGCTCCGTTGTAAACATGTTTGTTATCTGTGGCAGGGTAGACTTTATTCCACAGGATGTGCACATAAAATAGTACTAAATAGTAACCAGTGGAATTGAACACCCACCACAAGCTCCAAAGCCTTAAACTGGGAACTTTCACTACATTTTTTAACTCCTTCAGCATCTGAACAAACACTGAATTTGTCCAGGATGGGTATTTGTGGTTACTGCCTTGTGGTGCCACACTGCCATCATTCTCCTCAGGCTTCATTCTGGCCAATTCCGATTGAGCTGCTTCCTTCCTTTCCTCTTCCAGACGTGCTTGGTTGAAAAACAAGCTACGTTTGGGCCATGGCAGGAAGAAGGACAAGAGTAACCCAAAGGTGACAAACCCCAGAGAGACTGCACTTAACGTCCTGTATGTTACACCTCCTAGTGACACACATATCTGACCCAGCACAGAGCTCGTGAAGACTCCCATGAGCACAGATGTGCGGGAATAGCTGGCTACACGCTGGTAAACAGTCGCTGGTACTAGTGAGAAAATGTACGAGGAGTACGCCACACGGGCAGCCATGGTGATGCCATAAAAGAATTCCATAAACTGCATCTCCAGCAATGAGGCTCCCAAAAGCAGGAAGAGCCAAACGGAAACATGGCTCAAGCTCTGAAGGATCAGCACAGGTTTGTATCGTAGGTAATCTGTCAGCAGAAAGACAGGCACCAGCACGACCATATAGGAATATGTGAGGACTGGGTTGATTTCATTGGTGACCTGTAAAAACCACACAAAGCCATTATTACATGGGGTAGACAAAGCAGAGATAATTGTAATGTGCAATAAACATAATAACAATAATAGACAATGCACTCACCTTCACCACCAGAAATGTACAATATGAAATGTCAGACTGTGAATACTTTAATTGTTAACCCCAGGTAAAGCAAGAACATTGTGAAAAAAGATAATCTAGGACTTTGTTTAGAATGACCCACCCCTTCTGTATGCCATCTGAAATAAGGGTAGTGCACATGGAGAACACATGGTATCCCACATTATACTTCATATCATTGTGGAAAAGGGGTTGATTTCGAACTACAGTTTTAGTCCATTTAAAAAGTGAATCTTTGGGGTGACTGAAATATGTATTTTCCTTATACACTACAGTGGGGAAAATATTTATTTAGGCTAATCCCCTGCTGATTTTGTAAGTTTGCCCACTTACAAAGAAATTAAGGGTCTGTCATTTAATGGTAGGTTTATTTTAACGGATAGAGACAGAATATCAATCAATAAATCCAGAAAAAACACATTATATAAAGGTTAGAAATTGATTTGCATTTCAGTGAGTGAAATAAGTATTTGATCCCCTAACAACCATCAAGAATTCTGGCTCCCACAGATTGGTTATGTGCCCATGTGGAACACAGATTAGTCCTGCCACTTTAAGAAGTTACTCCTAATGTCAGCTCGTTAGGTGTATAAGACATCTGTTCACACAATCTGTATCTTCCATTCCAACCTCTCCCACCACCATGGGCGAGACCAGAGCTGTCAATGGATGTCAAAGACAAGATTGTAGATCTGTACAAGGCTTGAATGGGCTGCAAGACCATCAGCAAGAAGCTTGGTGAGAAGGAGACAACTGTTGGTGCGATTATTCGGAAATGGAAGGAATACAAAACCATCAATCGGCCTTGGTCCGGAGCTCCGTGCAAGATCTTGCCTCATGGGGTAAGGATGATCATGAGAAAGGTGAGGGATCAGCACCGAACTACACAGGAGTAGCTTGTCAATTATCTTAAGGCAGTTGGGACCACAGATTAAGAGAGGATCTGTAAAGAGGAGTGGATCAAAATCCCTCCTGAGATGTGTGCAAAACTGGTGACCAACTACAAAAAATGTCTTACCTCTGTGCTTGCCAAAAAGGGTTTGTGCACCAAGTACTAAATCATGTTTTGCTTGGGGATCAAATACTTATTTCACTCACTGAGATGCAAATCAATTTCTAGCCTTATATAATGTGATTTTTTTTGGTTGGTATATGTATGTCTCTATACATTAAAATAAACCTGTAATACAATTTACAGACCCTTCATTTCTTTGCAAGTGGGCAAACTTACAAAATCAGCAGGGGATCAAATAAATATTTTCCCTACTATATATTGCCAAAAGTATTGGGTCATCCCCTTCTACTGAACAGGTCTGACTACTTTAGGAATTTCCATGAGTACAAATCTTAATGTTTAAGCATATAGAAATATTCTAGGAAATTGTGACTTGTACATATGGGTACAGTAATTTTACACTTCCAAACCTGTTGCAAAGGGGTGGAAATACAATTTTTAAATAAATGAATTATGTTTCCATCTTTGTTGAAGGGGGTGCCCCAATACTTTTGTCCATATAGTATATGTACAAGTCATTGATGTTTTGTGATGAGTTTTTGGCTCAAGGTCTGCATTTAAAGTCACACCAGAGGTGTTCAGCTGGGATTAGGCCTTGGCTTTCTGCAGACCAGTCAAGTTCTTCCACACTGACTGAATCAATCATTTCTTTTGAAACCTTTCCTTATGCACAGAGGCATTGCCATGTTAGAATAGAAAAGGTTCATGTACAAACTGTTGCTATAAAATTAGAAGCACCCAATTCCCTAGAATATCATTACATGCTTAAATATTAAGATTTGTGCTCATGGAAATTACTAAAGTAGTTAAACCTGTTCATTAGAAGGGAGCGTCCGAATACTTTTGGCAATATAGTGCATCACTGTTATAGCCCATAATTCATTATATGAGGATGTGTTTTGTAATGGATAACATTACGTCAACATAAAACAATAATTCACATTACAGAGGTTAATTTACGATTACATTTACCACATACGACTATTACAATTACACAGCATAAATGTAACATTGGCCTTTGTACTTCTAGTTTATTTGTAACTGACTGCAATACTGAAGTGAAGTGACATGTGGCCAAGTATGGTGACCCATACTCGGAATTAGTGCTCTGCATTTATCCCATCCAAAGTGAACACACACCCGGAGCAGTGGGCAGCCATTTTTGCTGCGGCACCCGGGGAGCAGTTGGGGGTTCGGTGCCTTGCTCAAGGGCACCTCAGTCGTGGTATTGAAGGCGGGAGAGAGCGCTATACATTCAGATCAGACACACGTATGACACATGAATGTAACAGCTTTTAGGTGTCCTTTTATTTAATAAAACGTAATAAAAATATGTAACGTGAAAGATAACGTGGGCTAAACAGACGTGTTTTAATCCATGAGACAAACACTGGGCTAAAAACAAGTCAAAACAGGCACCTACTGTAATCTATTTTGCAGTATTTAACAGTGGAAAATTCCCATACAGATATTCTCTGTATGTGGTTGACTAATTTTATGGTTTTACTAACCTTATTTAAAAAAAACACCCAGTTAGAGCCTGATAAGATCAGTACATTGAGTACAAATTCATGAGGGTTTACAAAAGTAATCTTATAGTTAATAAATCTACATATAATAAGTCAGTATAATTGTTTCAGTCCCTCCTCAAAGCAGATCTGACCCACTTTGGAAGAATGTGAACTCTGACCACATTCACATGGCTTGCCAGACCCCAGTAGCTGTGTCAAACTCACACAGTCACGTGTCGACTAGATATTAAGAAAATTTAAAAAATACATACTATAGTTGGGAAAAACAGTCTCACGTTTAATTGTTTACATAATTAAATTAAATAAAAAAACTTTGCAGTATAATTCATCAAGATTCAATGATTATATATTTTAAATAAATTGGTGTTTTTTTTTTCTCCCACAGACTTAAAAAAAAATTATTAAAGAATAAAAGTAGAATAGCACCACACCTGTTCACTAGTGAAGTTCTTTTCTGTACTGAGCAGGTATGGTGTGATAAACGGCTCTCCAGGCTTCAGCTGCACCATGAAGCCATAGAAACAAAGATAAACTACGGACCATATCCAGGTTCTGGTCTTCTGCGTTTGGGTTTCCGGATCTTCCTTGGTTTCATGGATGACCGGCTCTGGAGCCACATTTTCCACAGTGTGTCCATTGCCATCAATCCTCATGTCCTCCTTAACATCCTCAGTCCTTTCATTGCATGTAATCACTTCCACCATGTTACAGCAATAATGATGCTGTAAAGCGGAACTATTTAATGATGGATACAATACAAAAGGTATGTTGATCCTCAAAGTTAATAGCTGAAGGCTAAGCAGTGTTCACAGACCGGTAACAACCAAGCAACTGCACAAGCCAGTAAATCCTAAGGCATGTGTCGTGTTAACTATTACTGGGGGCTGAGAGGACACATTCATAATGATACAGCAATGTGTTAAACAGCTACAAGCTCACATTTTCTGTGTGTAAGCATTCACCTTTGTCCAGCTTCCAACACCGTCAATGATTAAAAAATACTACCTTAATGGACTGCACATTGTGATTCTATAAAGAAGCACAAAGCAAATCAAATTGTTATATGGCAAATATGTACTCTAATGAGCATAGTTACATAATTAGCAAATATATATATTTTTCACGCCTAGTCTGTTATTTTCTTGTTCTAGGGTCTTATAAGAAATACACTTTTAACAATATATCAAACTGACATCTCTATCAGAACACTTATAGCAACGTGTCAGTCAAAGGAGTTTGCAAACATGTGCTCTTGTATCAAATGCATATGAACTTACAGACTGAGTAAACTCACATTTATCCACAACTCAAATATGCAATGTCAGCTCTTACACACATCTTATGACTACGTCTGCTTGTTCATGTATAACAGTAAATTCTCGCAGTCTCAGTGTTGTTTGCACATAATCCCACCAATATTCAAGTAAGGATCGAGTTGTTTCGCGTTAAACTTACCTGTTGCTTTCCTGTGGTCAAATTTAATCCTTTCTTGCTGAGGCTGACGGTGAGCTAATAATATATACTACTTAAAACAATATAGTGCAAGTTATTTAAGCGACAACAACGCGATAGACTTTAACCCATCGGTATTGGATAACCAGACGTTCCAGATATGTCACTGAAAGCAGTTCAGTCTAAAATCCACGAGACACTCGGCTGCAGTCTGCGCATGCGCACCGGATGTTTATCTTAAACTGAACGAATCGTTCTTTAAAATAATCTCTTTAATGAGCACCTATGGAAACAACATAACCATGGAACATTTCACATAACCGGTCTAAACGATTCGTTCAGAACGAATCAGCCTCGAGTTAACTGAATGAACTGAGCCGATATTCAGTGTGTTACAAAATGTGAACATTATTCTGTAGTTTGTGTATGTGCTATGATGCCTTGCCAAAGGAGGGCGCTCCAAGCATGGTATGTAAGAAGGTCTAGTCCATGTCATTTGTTGTCCATGTTGTGTATACATTGTTTTCTGTAAAGTGAATGGACAGGGGTGCCCAAACTCGGTCCTGGGGGGGGCGGTGTCCTGCAGAGTTTAGCTCCAACTTGTGTCACTGAAAGCAGTTCAGTCTAAAATCCACGAGACACTCGGCTGCAGTCTGCGCATGCGCACCGGATGTTTATCTTAAACTGAACGAATCGTTCTTTAAAATAATCTCTTTAATGAGCACCTATGGAAACAACATAACCATGGAACATTTCACATAACCGGTCTAAACGATTCGTTCAGAACGAATCAGCCTCGAGTTAACTGAATGAACTGAGCCGATATTCAGTGTGTTACAAAATGTGAACATTATTCTGTAGTTTGTGTATGTGCTATGATGCCTTGTCAAAGGAGGGCGCTCCAAGCATGGTATGTAAGAAGGTCTAGTCCATGTCATTTGTTGTCCATGTTGTGTATACATTGTTTTCTGTAAAGTGAATGGACAGGGGTGCCCAAACTCGGTCCTGGGGGGGGGCGGTGTCCTGCAGAGTTTAGCTCCAACTTGCCTCAACACACTTGCCTTCAAGTTTCTTGCATGCCTAGTAAGAGCTTGATTAGCTGGTTCAGGTGTGTTTAATGAGGGTTGGAGCTAAACTCTACAGGACACCGGCCCTCCAGGACCGAGTTTGGACAGCCCTAGACTGTATAAAAACAGGTCTTACCAACAGAGGGCACTCCAGGGTGCGTAAGATAAATATATCTGAGCACCACTAGGGGATCTTAGTGATGGGAGAAACGAATCATTTCGAAGCTTGGAATCAAATGAACCAATTGCTTCGCAAAATGATTCACTGTTTCGAAGCGCTCGAAACACCACACGCTGGTGACGCCTGCTGGTCAAAACTGTGTAAATGCAACAAAAACTTGCCAAAGCATGCATAAAAACAGCTTTTACAAACCCAATGAAAACGCTTTCTTGAAAGTATAATATATTAAATGCAATCAAAATAATAAAATACCATTAAAAATGAAGTGTCTGGCCTATGCGTCTTTAAAATAATAATTATTATTAATTTGCAAGGACTTGTTTGTTTTATGGAGAGCTTGTCTAAACAGGCCAGTAAGAGACCCAGGGTGCGTAAGATAAATATATCTGAGCACCACTAGGGGATCTTAGTGATGGGAGAAACGAATCATTTCGAAGCTTGGAATCAAATGAACCAATTGCTTCGCAAAATGATTCACTGTTTCGAAGCGCTCGAAACACCACACGCTGGTGACGCCTGCTGGTCAAAACTGTGTAAATGCAACAAAAACTTGCCAAAGCATGCATAAAAACAGCTTTTACAAACCCAATGAAAACGCTTTCTTGAAAGTATAATATATTAAATGCAATCAAAATAATAAAATACCATTAAAAATGAAGTGTCTGGCCTATGCGTCTTTAAAATAATAATTATTATTAATTTGCAAGGACTTGTTTGTTTTATGGAGAGCTTGTCTAAACAGGCCAGTAAGAGACTACTACTCATCCTTTTAATTACACAAATGTCTCATTAAAAATGTCCACAAATTGATCAAACTGATCCGAGATCGTGTAACCATAGACGCTGATGCAGTGGTTCGCCGCTGCGGGGCGATCTCAGTGAACTCGCATGATTCACGGGTTCACAAATGCCTGCCAAATATACCCACACTAGCGGTCTTTGCGCTGAATGAGGTTAAAATTTTGTGCAAATCTTTAGAATTGGTTAAAAACAAGAAAGCTCTCAAATTGATTTCGTTTTTGGGGCATGTATAATGTAAAAAGACCCTTTTGGTTTGTTTTATTTGTTCTATTTCTTTCTTTTCTTTTCTTCTTTATTATTGGTTTATTGTGATCTTGTTTGTCACTTTATGCTCAACCTAAGGCTGTTCACGTGTTGTTAGATTATGTGATGTGTTTATGTACCTTGTTTGTTTGTTGTAAATGGAAGCATAATAAAAAAAAACTTGCGGTCTTTGCACTTGACCATACACGCGAGATCTCGGCAAAAAGTCTCACGATTTATTTCCAGAACATGATGCATGATGGGATACACTAAGCCTCGAATAGCGCTCCGGAGCGGTATAGTAAAGTTCATTCAGGTGACAACAATTGTCCTGTACATTTTACACCCCTGCTTTGTAATTGCATCAACAACAAACACTTATATGACGTATTTCCTGTATTTGGCCCAAGTGTTCAAGTGAGCATGAAGACCACAAGTAGCCTTGTCCAAATACCCACACTTGCGGCCTTTGCACTTGACCACTTGACTACTTATATGACGTATTTCCTGTATTTGGCCCAAGTGTTCAAATGAGCATGAAGACCACAAGTGTGTGTCGAACTTTTCATTACCTGATGGGACACACTTGTAGTGTTGTAAAAATGCAAGTGTTTACATAGCTTTATTTTAATTTTCATTTTAAATACTTTGCATTTTAAAATCAACTTCTAAATGTCTGTTCAGTAGTCCCTATAACATGACAATTTTAATTTGTGGTGCTTCTACACTAAGCCTCGAATAGCGCTCCGGAGCGGTATAGTAAAGTTCATTCAGGTGACAACAATTGTCCTGTACATTTTACACCCCTGCTTTGTAATTGCATCAACAACAAACTATTTACTTTCACATTTCCTGAGTCTAATTAACTATTTCAAAAAACAGTGGCTGACATCAATTCAAAACTAAAATATAAATCACTTCAAGGAAATTATTTATCACATTACCATCAGCAGCATGTCATGTGTTTTCTATTGTGCTCATGCATTGTGGTCCAGGTCAGGAGTGCAAAAGCTTTATGTGAAAGACAGACTCAAGCTGTTGCCTTTTGTTCCTCTGAGAATAAAGGAACTGCAGCATCTAGCGGTTGAGATGGACACATGAATCTTTAATGTTTAACAAAGTCCTCTACTGCACATATTTTGGTGCTGAAAACAAGTGTAAAAACTATTAATCGTCATCATCTTTAGAAAAATGTATCCTGTAAAGTCTGACATATAATAACTCATAAAAATCGAATTTGCCTTAGTCCAGTAAGGTCCAGTAATCTTGAAATATTATAGTTAAAAGTTATTCTTATGTTTACTTTTTTTTTTTTAATCAGTGAAGATTTTGCCACAAAAAGGCATTTTAGAATTATAAATTATAAACTATAAACTAATAAATTATAAAAAAAATTATAAACTATTAATCAGATGATGAAGGCATATAGACCACTTTTTCAGCAAAGTTTTGATTGTGTTGATCTATTAAATTTAGAGGCCTTAAAAATATGTGTATAAAATATGATACTGTAGGATTTATAGGGTTAAATTAAATAGGTCAAATTTAATTGTATTAATTTAAGCATCAACCTTGGTCCAAAACCTGGTATGTTACCACTTCTCAAACTGGAGAATTTCCACTTTTCCTTAGTTTCATAGGCATCAGGTTCACTGTCCTCACTACTGTATCTGTTCTTTTAAAACAATGGTTATGAAATGTCATGACTGTATCACTACATGTCTGCAAAAGTCAATACTTATCAGGTTAAGGTATATTTTCATTAGTTTTGCTAATTACAATATACCATTAGTCAATATAGACTATTTTGTAACACCACTTTAAAGAGTGGCCTGTACTGAGTATTGAGATTCCTATAGGATGCTTCTCTGTCCTTCACGCCTTTCTGGGCCCATCAGATCACTGAAATAATGTGTACCAGGGCCTGTCGATGACTAAATAGAGGCTGTTCTCCTTGCTGGGGGCAATACAGGGTGGGTATTGTGATAAAGACCATACTGGCCTGTCATGCATTCATCAAATTTAGTACCACTATACTGGTGCTCAAAAGTATCAAACCTTATATTGTTTAATGAATGACTTTAAATAATACCCTAAAAGTGTCATATCATGACATGATCAGACTGTATAAAAGCTCACAACTGACACAATTTTGAATATGTTTGACTTACATGCACACACACTATCTACTGTACCATGCTGTTTTTCATTGTTAGCCCATGTTTTACATATTTGTTTTTCCACCTTATTGGCTTTAGAATAAATGTTTGTATTAAAATGCTTAAAATTACATTTTCAAAATAAAATGAAAATGAAATTTTCAAAACAAAATAAATGTGTACAAAATATAAACTGTTGTCTATGTTTTCTGTTAGTGTTACAACCCATCCCACCTACTGTTACAACTTACCCCAGCACTATGAGAGATTGTAACAACAGCACCCTTTGTACTTGACATTAAATCTAGGGTAGGCAATTATTTCTTGTAACATTTTCCTCACATCCTGCAAACAATAATTAAAAAGGGGTCATGAACTGCGAAAACCAAAATTCCCTTGATCTTTTGATAGGTAAGAGATCATTGTGCTATAAAAACATCCTGTAAGTTTCAGAACTCAAATCTTTGTTGTTAGTCTAAAAACAGCTTATTTTGAAGGCAGTCTGCCAATGTTCTTTTCTGGATCCGCTCAGCGGTGGTACAGCAGCTGTGGTGACGGGACGTAACGTCTCCATTCCCTCCTTCAGGGAATTAGGGTTACATACGTAACCGAGACGTTCCCTTTCAGTCAGTTACTCTCAACATTACGTCGGTAATGACCGACTTTGGGATCCCTACCAAAGCGCCACAGATGCTGCCACTTCCAGTGTCCTGTGCAAGCCTCCTGCGCCTCCTTTTCGGCATAGGCCGGGGTTCACAACAAGAAGA